AATGGACAGAGTTTTGCTGTGGAGCCATGTCTAGTTACTACAACTCAGAGTCTGATTCTGGTGCTAATTCTTTTCCTTGGGTTCCAGTAAGTGTTGAACAGCTCTCATTTTCACTGACTGCCTGTCTTGTATGCATACCAGCCCAGCCTCTGGCTTTTTTGCTTTTCATTCCATCCAGGAAGAGCACACATCAACTGCTGAAACTTCCTTAGCCTGACAAAAGGTTTTTGAATCCAAAAGCTTGCTTAAAAATTGTTCTCCAACTATTTAGTTGGTCTAATATATCAGATTCACCCAAAGAACCTGAACAGCTCTCAGATACTTTTGGAGCAGAAGAGGTAGGTAAGCAAAGCAATACAACAGGAGAAGACCAAGCAGGACACTTTACATTCATATTTTTCCTGAATGACTCATTCAGAAAGGGCTCCTGACATAAGATATTGGATAATAAAAATGACATGATTACATAATCTTTAGGATTATCAAACTGCATCATTCAACCCGGCATATCTGATCAGTAAGCCAAAATACATTATTCAAGTGACCAGATGCAGTCTGGGATTGCCTTCCTCTAAAGCGTTGGTCACTGACAGAAGCACTGGATGGACCAAAAGTCTGATCTGGAATTGTAGGGGTTGACATTCAGGAAGAGATGGACCAATGGTTTGTACTGGAAAGGCAGAAGAAACACCGTGATCTGAACTGGCAAGAGCTGTTATATTGGTATGGACAGACCAGTGGCCTAGCACACTCCAGGAAAAGCTACAATATCAAACTAGAAAACAAAAGGTCTTGAGATGTGCAAAAGATGCTGGGACACCAGTCTGGATGAACAAATAATCTGATCCAGTTTAGCAGATCCCCTGTTCTTATCCTGTGTAATGCCTCTAGAGAAAGGGTATCCCGGGGTCTGTGTGAGAGCACGCACATCCTTATCTTATCTAATTACAAGAAATTTCAGATTAATTTCAGTCCAGCCACTTGAAAGGACTGTTATCAGCCAGGGCTTTGTGGTTTAACCTTGTTACTCTTTTGTTGTTAACCTTTTAGAATGGCAGGGAGGGGAGAGCTGAGATTCTGCTGTATTAGAGGAGAAAAAAAAAGAACTCTAAAGGCTGTACAGCTATGGTTTTGTGTATTCAGCTCCACCTGCAGCTTGTGTGACAGGACAGCTGGCTGCTTACCTCCACTGACAGACGCCTGGTACCCAGCCACACAGAACAGCCCATAACAGGGACATGTCTCCTGCCAACCTCTCCAGATCCTTTGATATTTCCGACAGAGCAGTAAAGGACTCTGACTATCACATTTTACCTTGCATCTCTCAGCTCCTCAAAGGCTGCCCTGCTTGGTTTCCATAGCTACCCCCAATCAGATCTGGCTTCCTGTGAAATTGGATTTCAAAGCAAGACAAGCCTTCAAAGGAATTTGTCCATTTAACAGAATATCATTAGGAGTGAGGCTGTCTGCTGAACCTGGCCCTAATATGATTAAGGAGGGGCTGTTATCATGTCGGGAGGCAGCATTGCATCTACAGCACAGAAACCTTGATGCTTCATGACAATTATGCAGTGGAATTTACCAGTCACTGCCATCATCTTCTCCGCCTCCTCCCCCTGCCACCACCCTAAATTTGTATCCAGTTCATATACTAAGAAGTTGAAGTGGCAAGCAAGCAAGCTGTGTTTGCTGGTGATCTGAAAGTCAGGACACCTGGGTTCCATTCTCAGCTGTGTTTAAGTTGACTGGTTAGTGCAGAGAGCTTGGCAGGACTCTTGGGTTCTCCTCCTGACTTAGCTGCTGACCTTCAGCAAGTCATTTAGGCCTGATTTTCAGAGGCAATAAATAATCAGAACTGATGGTGTTTAATATCTTTGAAAATCAGGCCATTTAACTGCCCGTGCCTCAGTTTTCCCAGCAGGAAAATGGGTTGAATAACAATCCTCACTGCAAAGTACATCTATAAGACTTAATCAGTTCTCTTACCAAGTTCTAGTTATTGTTTGTCAAAAGGTTGCTATGGTGATACAAAGGCTATATATGAAATGATCCCTCCAATCTGCAGTTGTATAAAGATGTCATCCTCAGAGATTTGCATGGATCACGGTTTGTTGGTCTTGCTGGCACATCTGGAAACGGTTTCATCAGTCCAGGGTACATGTGGCTCGCCTCTTTTTTTTAATTTAGTCTCAGGAAGCAGCTGCACTTTATTTGTGCATTGTAATGAATTTGGCTAGTGATTTTATACATGTAAATATGTAAATAATTTGTACGTATGTTTATACTCATATACTCACATATATAGCTGTCTAAGTGTCTATTTGTACATGTGGGGATGCACATATACACAATACTACTGTAGTTTTCTGAATGCAATCAGAACCACGTGGGCTTTATACTGCTGACAGGTACTGGAGATTTTTCTTTGGCTCAAGTATTTCGGGTAGGAGGACTGGGAGCCTGTCCCCAGCTGTCACTGCGGGGTGATGTGGGAATGATGACACTGAAGATCTATTTTTTTGTTTTTCTAGAGAAAAAAACAAAAATAGATATGAAGCCTTAAGGGGAGGGAGAGAGAGAGTGTTTTTTTCTCTATAACTGAAATACAAAATGGCAGTTGACACTGCAGCATGCAGGGAAACCACAATAAAGGCACAGTGTATAGAAAACAATATGGCAACATTGCCCTTTCAGGCTGAAATACCTACATATACCAGATGGCCTATGGCTTTATTACACTATACCTTCCACTTTTTGAGCCAAAAGTTAGCTCCTTTTGGCAAGTCTTATTTCGTTGTGTGTCATTACAGTACTGTGCTTCATGCAAAATGTTACAGTTCAGTTTGAAGCCCCATATAACAACTTGGTAAATGGTTTTGAGTTTACTATCTATTAATCCACTTCTGCAATGAAATAAAAACAGTAAAACATGGAAACACATGTGGCCCAAATCCATAACAAAACCAATCCAAGCTCTTAATCTCATGTTTGTTCTTTATCTGATTGGTACCTGACTTAAACATACCACATCCTTTCCCTCTTGTTTTGAGTGCCTGGGTCTCGGAAAGCAGGGCATGACATTCTTGATAATCACAATTCACATTAATTTACCAGACCATACCGGACTTGTACATCCCCTCCCCCCCTTCAAATTATTCATAGTATTTGATTTATACATCCTTACAGCCCACTGGTGAGGTAGGGAAATGAGGCCCAGAGTTACAAGATGATTATCTGAGGTTAAGCAAGAGGCAGGCAATTGGACCTGGGTCTCCTATGTGCAAAGCTAGTTGCCTAACATTGCAATGTCTTTCCTCTTACAGGATGCACCTATCAAGTACTAAGATGCTCATTTTATAACCATTTAGATAGGTGCTTAACTTTTCAACCAGGAATCGCCCCAAATGTAACGAAGTTAAGCTCATGCCTAACCATTTGCAGGAGCCCAACAGAAATGTGCCACCTGTGTTCTGTTTATCTAGCACAAAAAAAAAAAAAGAAGAAATCACTATGGTGGGACACATACCTGCATCGTCTCATGTGGAACTGCACAGCTTAACCTACCTTGTATGGATCATCTCAGTGAAGTCAGCAGGGCACATGATTCCGTTAGGGAAGGGTTGCCAGCTTTGGTCAATACACATCCTGAAATTCAGGAATAATTCAGACAGGGTACACACACAGACAGCTTGGCCCAGTTCATATATAAAAGCAGATGAGGGGATATACGATTGTGTGCTAATCAAATTCAATGTCTGCTTTTTGTTATGGGCTCTGAAAATGAATGCAGGAATACAAAGTTTGTATTTACTGCAGTCAATAAAATGGGTTAGAGGAATGGAGATAGTGGAGCAACCCACTTAGTTCTTTCTCCAGGCAAGGCCCAAGCACAGGAACATGCATTGCAAGAAAGCAGAATTCAATTCCTTTCTGCTACAGAATGTAGGAAGTTGCATTGATAGTACAGCAGAATATAGTTCTCTGCCTGCAGTCTGTAGGAAGGGGATCCTGCTTTGCTTTGGGACAGCGGTTTTCACCCTTTTTAATTTGCAGACCCCTAAAAATTTCAAATGGAGGTGTGGACTCCTTTGAACTGTGTGTGGGTATTCACACACTTTTGATTGATCATAATCATCTTTCGCAGGCCCCCTCGACATAATCTGCAGACCCCCAGCAGTCCATGGACCACAGGTTGAAAACCATTGCTCTAAGATACACACAACCTCATGCCTTCTCTGAGCCTAGCCTGGGCTTGGGGTGCGAAACAGCAACGGGTCACAAGCTTACACATGCACACAGAGACTGGTGCTCTCCCTATACAAGCAGGAAGATCTGAAAGGCTGTATAGCATATACACCCTAGGACTCTCCCCCATTAAAGGAGAGCAGTAGTTCTCAACCTTGCTAGAGGTACCCCTTGGAAAATACTAGCTCTTAGTTTTCGTTCATTTTTGCCTATGGAAAAATAATAGGGCAGTTTTTTTCTGTTGCAGAGAACTCAGAAAGGCTGCAACAAGTCAGAATGTTTTTTGACGCTATGGACTCCAATTTGAAACAGAAAGTTTATCTTGTAAATCATGTGTTAAGTGTGTTTGCACACCCAGCTGTACTGACATTGTGTGGCACCCTTGAAGGGATCGCGTGCAAGCCTAGGCTGCCCCAACACCTTAGTTGAGAATCACTGAGGTAGAGGAGAGTGAATTTTCAATTGCATTCCTACTGCTGCATCCCTACGCAGGTGTTTGCAGGGTGCAGTCTGGATAGCCCCTCAAAGGTAGTTACACACCTAATTCCTATTGAGAAGTGACATCCCCTGAACTCCTATAAAATATACACTGAAAACAAATGCGAGATCAGTACCTAACTCCCAGTGAGGCTCTCAGTTTAGGTGTTGCTCATGAAGTAGCAGCAGCAACAAGTGGAGGAAGAGGGGGAGGTACTTTTGCAACAGTTCCTCCCCTCTTTTCACCACCTACTGGCCCTTCCTGCTTCCTTTCTCACTCAGTCTTTACCCCTGAGGGATAGCAGCAGGAGGTTTTTGCACCTTGGGACGGTTTCCCTTGCCCTTCCCAATGCAGGCACCAGGCAACTTCATCCCTGAGGAGATTCAGGGGCTCCTTGAAGGTAACCGTAGCTTCCTCCACCCCAGCGCCCAGGGCCTCTGGTTGGAAGTTGGTACAGTGGCTTTTTGAGTAGAAGCAAAAGTTAGGGGTGCCTTTTCTATCTCTCAGCTTGGAGCAGGGGGCTCAGAAGCTGTTCCTTCAGGCCAGGCAAGGGACCCTAGGCTTCTAGGGCATGCGGGCCTTATTCCACTGTTTCCGCTGAGAATATGGCTGCCTGTCCCGGTGGCACGCTGGTATTGCCTGAGGGTGAGTCCCTGTCTGAGTGGCACTGTATCCAGCCCCCCCCCCGGATCCATTTGTGTAGGGGAGTGAGGGTACCTGAGATGTTTCAGCATTGCACAGCAATGCCACATCATCTAGAGTGAGGCCATTGGTAGTATGGGGCTACTCTGCCGTGGCATGTAGATGCCCCTGTGTGGCCTGCTGCCACTCTATGGGTTCTTATACTGAGTTTTTCTGATAGTATCTGATCGCTTTCCAGACAGCGTATTAAGCAGCATGATTAACATGTTGGTGTCTCACACTGGCCCTGAGGCATGTGAGGCAGAAAAGGGTTTTTTGATAGGGGTTGTTTTTTGAATGAGATGCTGCATGTTACAGACTGGGAACACCTCTCTTAACAGCACAGTTGTACCACGCAACATGTCAGATTATGAAGGTGCAATGAACCAGTTGGCTCAAATTCCCAGTTAAGTAGTAACCCTATCAGAAAAAGTAGGCCCCAGAGACTCTGAAAACTACATCAGCTTTAAGCTCTGTCTCTGTTTAAAGGTTTACTGCTAAGATCCCTTAATATTCAACATCCTAATGGATGAACCTGCCTTTAGTTTGCTGCTTGTTTTCATGAACCTGTTAGGTGCATAACCTCTGTCATGTGGGAGATGCTTGCAGTATAGCATAGCATAGCATAGCATAGCATAGCATAGCATAACATAGCATATCTCATCATTTCTTGGCAAATTTAAAACACTTACTCCTCTCTTTATTAAAACTGAGTGTCAGATTGAGTTGAAGTTATAGTAATTCCTTCTATCCACAGCTTTCAGTGCACTATACCAATGGACACTGATTAGCCCGACCCATAGTAGGGTAAAGAAAGGCTCCATAAATGAGTTCCCACAGAAACCCAGAAATAGGCTGCTTCAGGGTTAAATGGTCGTGATTCCTGATCTGTATTGCTTCAGCTATTTGGGTACCTTAGGGGGCACTGCCAACTTGAAATCTGAGTTTACTTAAATCAAAAAACAAGTTCATATCTTATTTTAGATCCTTCAGGGTTCCCCAGAAAGTTTGTGCAGTATTAACAGCTATCTTTGATACTTCTTTCCCCTGTCCTTGTGGAAAAGATCCACACAAACAAGGAGGAGAGATTATACACAGAGCTGGTATTGCCCCTTAATTTCACTGAACTGTTCATCTACCACACTCATTGCTATTTAAGTGTTGGACACCAAGTCTCCTAAATATAATCTCTAATTTATCTACTCTTTAAATAAATGTTAGCTAAAGAGTTACAGTCTTAGCATAGTGGTTTCTCACTGCACGCTGACTCACATGTACATGTGTTGTGAATAAATACATCCTGCTGTTGTGAATGATGGAGAAGAGGGTAATTTTCTGCTAACTTCTTGCCATTTTGAATCTCCCTGAGTCTGGGTCATTCTGCTGATAGGCTTTTATCACCTTTGGTTTCCTGTTGAGAAGACATCAGGTAGCTAGCAGCACTGTTCTCCCATTCTGAGAGGTGGAGTGACTGGGATCTGTCACTTTGAGAGAAAAAGTGAATCTTACAGGCTTGTCAAAGCTCAGTTTCAAATGTTTTGTGTCTTTTCTCCAGAAGTGCAGCGTACAGGCTTGTCAGAGCTCAATTTCAAATGCTTTGTGTCTTCCCCCAGATGTAGGTGTGAATTTCCTCCTCTGTTTTTTAATCATGGGGCTGCAGTGAAGTTTACCCTTTCACATTTTTGATGTGCAGCACTTTATTGTTCAGAGCTGACACTTCTGTAAACAACTCATTTCTGCACCTGCCGCCTTCCTTTAACTTAGATTATTTTCTTGTTAGCTGACTGTTTTTAATTGAAGTCTTCAGATCTCCTTCTAAAGCAGAGCCTTTGTTTGCTGACAAGTATAGCAGGCTATGAATGGAGATTAATTGCATGTCACATACTTCTGTATCAAACTTGCTGTGTCTTAACAATCTGTACAGTTTATGGGCATGTCAATATATAAGGAGGATTCTGGCTAGTCAGGCTAGAAAGAAGGGAGTTTTGTTGTTCCCATGTTTGCAAAGTGCATCATCAGGAGAACTTACCTATTTAAAATGATTATAAGAAATGAGATACCAAGAATGTACAGTTCTTCAGCCAATAATGTCCATTTTCT